TCTGATCTTAGTTATTTCTTGTCTTCTGCTAGCTTTTGAATTTGTTTGTTCTTGCATCTCTAGTTCTTTTAATTGTGATGTTAGGGTGTCAATTTTAGATCTTTCCTGCTTTCTCCTGTGGGTATTTAGTGCTATAAATGTGCCTCTACACACTACTTTATGTGTGTCCCAGAGATTCTGGTGTGTTGTATCTTTGTGCTCATTGGTTTCAAAGAACATCTTTATTTCTGCTTTCATTTTGTGATTTACTTAGTAGTCATTCAGGAGCAGGTTGTTCAATTTCTATATAGTTGTGTGGTTTTGAGTGAGTTTCTTAATCCTGAGTTCAAATTTGATTGCACTGTGGTCTGAGAGACTGTTATGATTTCCATTCTTTTGCATTTGCTGAGGAGTGTTTTACTTCCACTTATGTGGTCAATTTTAGAATAAGTTAAATGTGGTGCTGAAAAGAATGTATATTCTGTTGATTTGAGATGGAGAGTTCTGTAGATGTTTATTAGGTCTCCTTGGTCCAGAGCTGAATTCATGTCCTGGATATCCTTGTCAATTTTCTGTCTTGTTGATCTGTCTAACATTGACAGTGGGGTGTTAAAGTTTCTCACTATTAATTATTGTGTGGTAGTCTAAGTCTCTTTGTTGGTCTCTAAGGACATGCTTTATGAATCTGGGTGCTCCTGTATTGGGTGCATATATATTTAGGATCGTTAGATCTTCTTGTTTCTTTGATCCCTTTACAATTATGTAATGACCTTCTTTGTCTCTTTTGATCTTCGTTGGTTTAAAGTCTGTTTTATCAGGGACTAGGATTGCAACCCCTGCTTTTTTATTTGACTCTCCCATTTTTAAATACCTTATTCTGCTGATCACTTGATGTGGTATTTTATAGCCATATTCACATCTTACTTTTCCTGCTAAATACATCCTCCTCAAAGATAGAATCATATTGAATTTTTAGTAATTCCTACCATGTTTAACTCTGCACATGCACCTTCTACATAACATAGTTATTCAATGACTATTCAATGAAAATCAATGGCTGCATTTATCAACAGTATTCAAAGTTAAAAAGCATGATTACAGCTTGTGTTTACTGATATCAATTGTTGAAATATATTACCCCATAGTTACTTCTGTGTTAAGTGATAGGAAAGCAAAGAGAAAGATGTGAAAGCAAGAAGTGCATAAAACTAAGCAAACAACAACAAAAACCCAAGGCAATACATTTTTGGGGTATGGATGTTTGGTCTCATTTCTTCCTGTGTTATACTTGGGGTTCTCTTACTTCTCCCCAGGGAATGCAAGATGATTCCTTTTATTGACTGAGTGGAAGAGGAAGTGGGCTTGTGTAGTTCAGTCTCTTTTCCTTACAACTTTTCAGGAGCTAGCATGTGTGCAGAGGAAAGGCATCCTCAAGCTTTGAAAATGCCGAAAGTATTATAGGGGCAAGCTTTGAGACTGTGGGGTTTAAGTCTACAGGTTTGGAGTTAAGTTCACCTTGAAGAAATACTAAAAGCTGGTGTTTCGGATAAGAAACCTTGAGACATACAGAGTTAAGGAGGGAGATATGAAAATCTAATGGAGATATGGAGAAGAGGCCTCATGTGGTATTGATCAGATGACTGTAAGAGTAAGTAAGGCTTGCAGGTGACACCTTAGAATCAAGCATGAACTATGGAGGCCTCATCAATGGAGTAAACCTTGAAGTACTCAAGCCTTACGATGAGTAACTTGCTTCAGCATAGCCATAATGGTGTTCTCCGGCTCTCCTATCCATTTAGGGGCTGCTTTCGATTGTATGTGGCTATATTACAATGCTTACAATTCCATACGTTTCTGAGATCCAAACCGTAGCTCCAACCATATAAAAAAAGTCATTTTTTATAATGGATAAATTCATTCATACGAAGTCCTCAGAAAGAGAAAATGATATTGTCTTGGCTTGACATAGAGGTGTAAGTCATAAGATTAAACGGGCTGTTATATATTCTTTTCAACATAGCATTCCTGCACCTACCTAGATTTGTGCAGCATGGATGAACTTCATCATATCTTTTTCTGTTCTGCCAGGGCAGTGAGGCTGTTCACTTTCCAACTTCTAAAATTGATATAGCTCTTCAATATTGTCTTATAAACCACATAATCCATCGGTTCTGGAACTCTTCCCTGAGCTCTTAAGTCACAGTCCAGTGTCTTTCCTCTACCAAGAATTCATTTATCCTTCTGTCACCTGTTGAAATCTGGCCCAGGACTCACAAAGGGTATCTTAATTTTCAAAACAAAAAATTGTTTTCGGCCAGGTGCGGTGACTCATGCCTGTAATTCCAGCACTTGGGGAGGCCAAGGGAGGAAGATCACAAGGTCAGGAGTTCGAGACCAGCCCGACCAACATGGCGACACCCTGTCTCTACTAAAAGTACAAAAATTAGCCAGGCGTGGTGGCAGGTGCCTGTAATCCCAGCTACTAGGGAGGCTGAGGCAGGAGAATAGCTTGAACCCAGCAGGTGGAGGTTGCAGTGAGCCGAGATCATGCCACTGCACTCCAGCCTGGGTGACAACAGCGAGACTCCATCTCAAAAAAAATGCTTTATTATTTTTCTGTGATCTTGTGGTATATATGCTGTTATTGTATTACATATGCCATTATACCATTTACAGTATTCTCCATACAATTACAATTTATGTTGGTTTCCAGACTGAGTCTGAAATACTTTATAATACTATGTCTGAAATGACTATGAATTTTCAACAGTGCAGAATTTTACATACCATTTCATTCTTCTACATTTTATCCATCATTTTAGATACCTCAATACCATGACTGATATTAAGTAGTTTAAAAACTATCTAAGGATAAGGACATTATATACCTCTATATTGTTTAGTAAATGCTATTTCTTCATAGGAAAAAGACATGCTGTTTTAAGTGCTGTGCTTTTCTGTACTTTTATTTTGTTACTATAAAAAAAAAATCCACAGATGAAAACCTGTGGCTATGATGTATTTACAGCATAATACTCATTTGACAATGAAGTTATAATATATAATTGAATCAAAGGACATATGGGACAAAATAGATATTAATAATAATCAATATTACGAGCAATTTGAATGAAACAGTTACCATTATCAAAGCAACTCTTTTTTTTTTTTTTTTTTTTTTGAGGCGGAGTCTCGCTCTGTCGCCCAGACTGGAGTGCAGTGGCAGGATCTCGGCTCACTGCAAGCTCCGCCTCCCGGGTTTAGGCCATTCTCCTGCCTCAGTCTCCCGAGTAGCTGGGACTACAGGCTCCCGCCACCTCGCCCGGCTAGTTTTTTGTATTTGCTAGTTTTTTGTATTTTTTAGTAGAGACGGGGTTTCACCATGTTAGCCAGGATGGTCTGGATCTCCTGACCTCGTGATCTGCCTGTCTCGGCCTCCCAAAGTGCTGAGATTACAGGCTTGAGCCACCGTGCCCAGCCCAAAGCAACTCTTTAAATAGAATGCAAGATGTTTAAGAAAGACTTCCATCCTGCTGTGTTAGACAAAGGATTGTGGTCTACAACTGTAGTGGAAAGAAACCCTGACAGAATATATTAATATATTTTCAAAATATTATACATTAGATTGCTAGATCATTTATGTTGTAATATCTGCTAAGACTCTAATATGGTCCTACTAGTAAATCTACTTTTAAAAAGGAAACAAAATGTATAGTTAAAATTAATCTGGAATTAATAACTGAGATAATGGTATAAAGATAAAAAAAAGGAATATTCCTTCTGCCTGTATAAAATTATGACCTCATCATTATATCTGAAGAGGACTGAAATACTCCAGAACATGCCTTTCAACTTCTCCTTTCATTCTTTTCTTTTTCTTCTCATAATTTAACCTTTGTGGGCTCATAATTATATAAATAACACAAGAGGAAAATAAAATGTATTTTCTACTAAGGGAATGTATCCGTAGGAAAAGCAATGCAACAGAGTTAGACCGTCAAGAACGTTCAAAATTCTAGTAAAATATGAATCATGTATGAGCATTTAACTAAGGTAGAATTAAAAATGAACAGGCATGAAAACATTTGCCAAGATGTCCAGATTTGGAAAAAAAAAAAAAAAAAAGATGAGAATGCTAGAAATTAAAAACATAATCACTAAAGCTCAATGTATGGATAAAATAAGAGATTAGATACTGGGGAGAACCCTGAAAATACAGACCTAACAAAGAAATCGAAACTGGGAAGGAGAGGGTAAGAGATGTGGGAGGTGTGAAAATGCAAAGTTATGTCTTCAGAGTTTATCTGAAGAAATAATGCAAATTTCCAGAATTGATTAAAATGTGATTCTGCAGATACAGCAATGACGGTAAATAAAATGCATGTATACTTATGACTTTATAGTGGAAGAGTAGAACACCAAAGACAAAGTATTATTTAAAGCACAGAGCAAGAGAAAAAAATAATGTCTACAGGAGTAGCAACAAGATTTAAAGGAAATGCTTGGGGAATAAAGGTAATATAAAATAAAAATATTAATGTGTACATCCTTATCCAGGAAATTTATTAAACCTAAATTTATGAAATGATAATTTATAAACAGTAAAACTTTTGTTTTCCTTTTAGATAAATAAAGGTACTCTATGTAAACAAACAAGCAAAGTGCTTTCTGGAAGAACTTTCTGAGTATCAAGATATAACAAGCATTTAAAAAGGACTGTCATTATTCTTGACATTATCTTGTATTTTCAAAATGGGCAGATAAATATAATTAATATCAAGTATTTAGATGTCCCATTTATAATTGACTTGTGAAGGAATATCTTTCAGTAGAAAATAAATGGAGTTGTAACTTAGTAACATTGTCACCAAATTTCATATTCAAGAAATAAGTATATATTTGTATAATTTAAACTTTTCCACAAAGCACTTCTTTATGCTTCCCCTGGAACCATATGCATATAATTTGAGAACATGCACCTTCAGCAGTAAAGGGCCAGGGTCGACCTTTCTGGGACTCACCTCCCCTTCTGTAGACTGCAAATGGAGCTCCTTCCTGCAGGTGGCCTTGAAGTCTCCTGCAGCAGCACTCACCTGGACCCCACGAGGAGCTTCCATGATCAAGGATCTGGTGGGTGATTCAAGCCTGAGGGAAAAACAAAAAAAAAAAATCATTCATAGAAAAAAGAAAATTTTTGATAAACTAGAAGACAACATTAGTCAACTTAAAACCACCACCAGAAAAACATACAGACCAGACAGGAATAAAGAAAGAGTCCTACCATGTTAGGCAAAGCCCAAATGAGTTTTAGAACAATTTTTGATTGACTTATCTATTTTTGGCTCTTTATCAAAATCTACATGTATTCACATCAAGTATTGACTCTCACGTTCATGACAATTTGCTTATGGTTTCTTTTGCTGTTTCCCCTCATAATGCTCATGAAAAGCAGGGTGTGATAAGTATACTTGCTAAAATTTTGAATAACTCACTAATATTAATGATGGAGGTTTAATAAAAAAAAATAGTACTGCAGTTTAAGATGTAGATATATGTATTCCTCAATAAAGAATCCCTGTCTTGTAAACATGAATGAGTTAATGAAAATCGTTAATATTGCAAACTTTCAGGCATGCACAAAATATTATGAACTTGACACCTCTAGAAACTGATTAAAATAATGAAATAAGACATTTTCTACATCAACTAACTCTGATGGCCCCGTGAAATGTCCACAGAATGAGTGACATTAGTCTAGGAAAGAAAAATCAATAGGAGGGTAATATAAATCAATAGGAGGGTAATATACAAGTATAAATCTGATTGAAGGTTGGCTACATAAATTATGAGGGCAAAAAAAACAAGTGTTTTACACAGTCATGCCTATAGAAAGAGAGTTGGGAGGCAGTTTTCAAATTATCTTAAAATATGACACTAGAGAAAAAGCAAAATGACACAATACAGGAACTAGAATACAGTGGTAAAAAGTATGAGAAGAGGTAGGATCCATGCATTGGTCTTTTTAGATCAGCTTTCTGCCTTGGGGATGCAACTGCCTGTGATCCCCTTGACCACGGGAGTTTAAGAGGTGGGTCCCCTCAGGCTCACATTCACTGTTATCCAGCACAACTGGTTTTGTTTTCGGTTTCTGAGGCAATAAATTCAGAGTTGTTTTGCAGAAAGAACCACATCAAATGCTTAGGTCTCTGGAGTTCAGCTCCCTCTCAGCAGGAAAGTCAAACTTAAAAGTGATATGGAAGGAGCAGAACCAGCATTTAGAAGTGGTTTCAACACTTTCATTTTCTCTTGCAACTTTAAAATTGTAATCCCTATGGGCCATTTGGAGATCTATCCTCATATAATCCCTGAAGGGGAGAGGTTTTGAATGTATCTATTTTTAATAAACGTCTGTATTTTTTTTAATTAAACAGAACTCCCCGTATTTTCCATAGAATATTTGATTTCCATAGCATATTTGAAAACTTGAAGACAATCACTCATAATCCCCTTACACAATTTACTATTAGCATTTTACACACAGTATCTAAATGTCAAAATTTGAATGTTAAAATGTATTTTTTATCACTGATTTTTCCCTGATACATAACCCTTCTAGAACTACGCAGACTCTTAGCAACACAGCATCAACAATTAAATGTTGTCCCATGGCCAGGTACGGTGGCTCATGCCTGTAAACCCAGCACTTTGGGAGGCCAAGCGTAGTGGCGGGCCCCTGTAGTCCCAGCTACTCGGGAGGCTGAGGCAGGAGAATGGCGTGAACCAGGAAGGAGGAGCTTGCAGCGAGCAGAGATCACACCACTGCACTCCACACTGGGCGACAGAGCGAGACTCCGTCACAAAAAAGAAAAACGAAAATGGTGTCCCACTTCTCTCTTGTATGGAAATTCTCCCGTTCACTGAGGAGGGTTTCACAGACTTACTTATATTATAGTACAGGTTTTCAATTAAACTATTCATGTTATTATGAAATATTCTCTGAAAAAGCCTATTGAAAAAGGAAACCTAAGTTTATTGGCACTACTTGTGGATTTCTATGTAAATAGTCAATGGAATTAGTGACTTATAATTGTATTCATGTGGAAAGCATTACAGCAAATATAGCAGTGAGTTTCAGACTAGCTTTCACAGTGGGTAGCTAGTAGTATGACAGAGAGAGAAGGATTAACGTTTAACTCAAGTCCCTCTACCACCTGGTTTTTCAAAAGCATTCTGTTTTTCATGGTGTTTATATACCAAAGATGCAAGAAGATACTGTTTTTAAGGTGTTATGCAACTATCAAATTTAAAAAGTCTGTGGCCTAAATCTCTAGAAGAATTCTCAACCTTCAGAAAAAAGAATTCAGACTTTAAAAGAATTCAGACTTTAAAACAACCTAAGTTGCAAGAATGCAATTGTTAAGTATTAAGCAGAACTTAAACATCAGAAGAAACAAAAAGAAAGGTAGGGAAAAGGAAAGGAAAGAAAGCAAATATACTACTTTATCATAATGTTCTTCTCATAGGTAGAAGAACACCAGCAAAGCGATCTACCCCTTTGTTGAGGAAATGTCTCAGACAACATCCTGACTGCTTAATAGAGTTTTTTTCCTTGAATATATTAATGATGTATATTAGAGCTATGTGTTTCAAGAGATTAACTTGGAGCCTGCAAACCTTAATATTTCTGTGTTAAGGTGTATTTTTGCAAGAATGAGAATTAGGAAAAGATGCCAAATATATGATTAAATATTAATTCATTTTACAGAATCCAAGTGCAGATTATTTTCTTATTCTGTACTTAATGGATCTCAGATCCAAAAATAAATCTGTAGGAAATCGGCACTGTATAATTAATTTCATCACTTTTTACCATAGGTACAGAAACTCTTCAAACTGTAGCAACTTAACTATATGTTAATGTAAGAAATAAAAAAGTGAACATTGGGCTGTTGTGGGCAAATTTACTATTATGTCTTTGTTAACTATTTAACACACATTGTTTAGCCTTTTAAAATATAGACTCCATACTACAAAACAGTATTTTATCTAAAAAAAAAAAAAATCAAAGAAAATCCACAGTTTTAAAATGCACATGAAAACAGAACTTGAGAAATAGTAGATACTCATCAAACATCTGCTGAATAAATAAGTTATAGAAATCACCACATTTCTTCACCAAAATATTAATACTCTATTAATATAATAGACTTTTGAAATTTTTTCTGAAGTCTAAATCAAAGAAAACATGGCTACTTACTCCCTAAATTAACAGTTTATTGACTTGGCCAACCAATGAAACCGTGTTGAATAGAACTAGGCCTCAAGTGACAGTACTTAGTTCTCTGAAAGGAAAACTGTCAGCAAGGCTTGTAAAGTTTTTCTCAAACACCCTGCTTTTAATGTTCATTACACAAATAAATAATTGAATACCTACATAATTACTCGACTTTGCTTCTGTTTCAGTTTGGAAATTTAGTAATACTTATCTTCGGGATTGCCAGTCTGCTTTTACAACCAGCTGATAAATCCAGCTTAGTGCGATGTTTAAATAATGATGAATAATTAGAAAATGAAAACCAGAAACACTATAAACTAGATATAATATCGTTCACATTTTCACTTATGAATTGTGAAATATGTCAGCAAGATAATTAAAATACCAGTTGGTTCTTATTCCTCTTTTAACAATAGACTCTCCATAGTTACTAAAACGTTAGAAATAAAAAAATATTTCTTAAGAATAAATGTAAATAATTTAAAAATACTTCTATAAATGTAATTTTTCAAGTTTATTGAATAAATTAGTAAACAGCTGTGTCTGTATTAAAACACAGATGAAAAAAATTGGAATCAATGCTCTCCACATGTGCCTTTGTAATACAGTAATGACTGCAGCCAACATGTGCCTTTGTAATATGACTGCAGCCACTTTCCTTATATTGCAACTCATTTAGTTAATATCCCCATTTTTCGTCTTTGCTAAGTTTCAGTAACTCACATTAACAAATACTTATTGCAACTGGGATGTGTAAGATAACAGTGCTGGCTGCTCCAGCATTAAGGATGAACAAGGGACATGTGTATCCTGTTCTAATGGAATTTATAGTTTGTTAGGAGAAGACAGATACAATAAATATTTTCACAAAAGTTGTTTAATTCCTCCCTAAAAAAAAAAAGCCATAAATGAAGATTTTAGCACCCTATGAGATGCTGTTTACACACACTCCTCAGCACACTCCTAAATCCCTAGGGTTTCTATCTAGAGTAGGTAATGATTACGTTGGTCTTCTAAAATAAGTCTTAGTTCTTGAAGAAGGCCACTTTTTTTCTAATATTGTTCCCTAGCTTGTTTGAATCTGTGTTACTCAAGTAGTGAGAAACTGAGTTCTTTAGGAAATTTTTTCATAGGACTCTAAAGGACTAAAAAATTTACTGTTGTAAAGTATGGTTTTGTTGCCTTAAAGATTTTCAACTTTATTTTTTGTTTCCATCTGAGTACGTATACACTCATCCAGTGTGAAGGGCTAAACACCAATCCTTATGAATAAAAAAGTTTTTTAACTTAATATTTTTATTTTGCTTCCCAAGACAGCAACTGTGTCTCTCAGGTTGATACTTTGATCCAACTTTAAAAGTGACTTTTAATATGTGATTAGGTTTTATCAGCAGTATTTGCATATTTCCTTTTCCTATACAATAATAAGTTCATGTCAGAATGTAATTTTCCTATCATAAATTATTAAACCATAATCACCAAATCTTATGTATTGAATTATAGAACATCCACTGAGCAGTTTTGTATGAGGAATCTAGATTTTAATATTTTGAATTTAATCAACAGTGGTAATAATTATCCTGGGAAGAATTCCCTATAATGTTGGAATTTTCTGGATGGTGAGAGCTTTTACAAATAACTGCCTCCTAGAACCATTACACTATCAGGAAATAGTTTATTCCATTGGAAATATTAGACTCAGGAACTCCATCCAAGTCCAATTAAGTTCTGCCTTTTTCTGATTAGCTTCCATTTGCTTCCATATTCCCCTTTATGCAATACTCTGTGATCATTTATAGCTTTCTCAGCTCCCTATTTGCCCTGTCTTTATTCCTATAGATGCCATATATTTCATTATATATGTTGGATTTTCCAGCATTCCTGTTTTTGTTGTTGTTTTTATTGTGTTTTGTTTCATTTTTACAGATGGGGTCTTACTGTGTTTTCCAGGCTGAAGTACAGCAGCATGATCATAGCTCACTGCAGCATCGACCTCCTGGGCTCAAGCAATCCTCTGGTCTCAGCCTCCTGACTAACTTGGACTACACATGTGCACCACCATGTTCGACTAATTTTTATGTTGCCAGGTCTTGAACTTATGATCTCAACTGATCCTCCTACCTTGGCCTCCCAAAGTGCTGGGATTACAGGTGTGAGCCACCACACCCGACCTCAGCATCCCTATTTTTATTAGTTCCTCTGACTTACTCTATAACTGCCTTTGCCTTTTCTTTTCTACATTCTTGCTATCTAATATATTCATTTTTGTATTTATTTTAAGTATATTGGGGGAAACATTGTCTAGCTGTCTATTTTAGTTCTCCTAAATGATGGAGAACTAAACAGTGATGGAATTTAGGCCACATGTGTAAGAGGAAGCACTTACCTGAGATCTTGGGATGGCTCTGCTCTGATGTGCGGCGTCTCCACAGAGTGCCCAAATACGGCTCCTTCAGTGCCTGGGGGTAGCATGAATATAGCAGTCAGTATAGGCAAGTCCACACAGTGACTTTCATCTCTATTTTTATGCATCAAATATTCTTCCCAAAGAGAGAAAACTTAAAATAGGTATATATCATCTATTAGTCCGTTTTCACACTGCTGATAAAGACATACCCGAGACTGAAGAGAAAAAGAGGTTTAATTGGACTTGCAGTTCCACATGGCTGGGGAGGCCTCAGAATCATTGCAGGAGGCAACAGGCACTTCATATATGGCGGTGGCAAGAGAAAAATGAGGAAGATGCAAGAGCAGAAACCCCTGATAAAACCATCAGATCTTATGAGACTTATTCACTACCACAAGAACATTATGGGGGAAACCGCCCCCATGATTCAATTATCATCTACTGGGTCCCTCCCACAACACATGGGCATTATAGGAGTACAATTTTCTCGATGAGATTTGAGAGGGGACACAGAGCCAAACCATATCACAGGATATGAATGAGAAGAACTGGAAGAATATCACCAGGCAGGGAAGAGTCAATCAAGGTAAATGTAAATGTCATTATATATTAACTGATTTTAAAATTAAATTATTTATAAAAGTCAAGATTCCCACTCTCTCATTAAAGAACAAAAGCTTATCTCTGTCCCTTGCCTTATTTTCCAGTTAAGGGAAATTGAGGGAGGGATACATCACAATGCTTAATTCTGTGTTTCTATAAATAATAGCAGGTCATGAATAAAAATGTGGAGGTGAGCTCCAGTGTAGCCAACTATTGGTTTTTACAGACATACCCTGATAGATGTTTAGCAGTTCTCACACACAGAGCTCCCACCTTTGATTACAGTAACCACCAAATGAGAGAGAACATGTCATGTTACTTTGACCTCTCTGGGGTTAGGGCTTTATCTAAAACCATGAACTGCTTTAAATCATGTTGTTATAGTTGGTTTCATATGGCATCATAGTTTTCCAAAGAGGTCATATACTCTAACACTTTTCTCAGGAGGTTGAATGATACTCTATCTCAGCTTTCATTTACTGAATCTAGTTTTTTTTTTTCCAGATTCCCATAGCTTTTTCATAATTTAAGTAAAATGGAAGGATTCTTCAATTACAGAAATCAAGTGGGAAAAAAAAATGCTCCAAATAAGATGACACTGAGAAAATCTTTTCTGTAATTTTGCATAAATGTCTTTGATTATCACCCTCAAAATAAACTTTATGATTTTGTTTTTTGATCTAATCTTCTTCAAACTTCTTAGTTTAAGAACCTCATATCTGTTCCATCAGTGGCTTCGACACTAGCTAAATTATACAATGTAACATAAAAATATATATTTGAAGTATACAAAACAAATATGCTTTTGTCTAATGAGAAAAAATCATGTAAAACATATTAATTCAAGAGGCAATGATGAAATTGCCACTAGGAAATTAAAGCTAAAATTCTAATTCCTTAAAAATAAATTGCTATATATGGAAATGTATTAAATAAATTGCTATATATGGAAATGTATTAGAACCATCAGATGACTCCTTTGCATAATATAGCAATACAGACTTTGATCATGAATAGAAGAGGAAGAGATTTTTTTTTCAAAGACTGTATGATTTCATCTATATTCTGGTTCTGAGGGCAAACTTACCAGGTTCTGCTGCAGTAAATCCCTAAGATTGCAGATTTCTGTTTATAAACTAAAAGCTATTGGCATTTGTTGAACACTTAATGGGTTTAATAGTGTTCTCTCTTGTCTCTCTCTGTCTCTCCTGTGACTCTGTAGGACATATGCTCCTTGTTTTTAACACTTTTCCTCATGAATTTTGAGAAGTTACTTCTTTAAGGAGTTTATTCAGTTGATATTTTGGAAGATATTTATTTTATTTCTCCAAGTGGAATGTTCCTTAAGATAGGTCTTTAAAAGTAAAACAGTAGTTGGAGGTAACAGTAATTTTGTGATCATGATGGAGATAGCATGTGAAAGAATATTACAAGATACATATTTGTATATCTCAAAGAGAGACTCTGGCATTTTGTAATAAGATATGCATCCCAGAAAAGAGAGTTATCCATGTGCAAAGTTTAAAAATTAATTTCCACTATTGCATGATTATGAAAATTTCCCAGATAAGGTGACAGAAATATAATTAGACATCAGTAATATTTACTTTCAAATACATAATGACATACTTAGTAACTAAGCACAAACTATATCAGTGAAAATAAAAATACAATGTCATCAAAAGTGTAAATTTTCAAAGAGAAATAAAAACTGAAAGAGGTCTCAATTCTGAGTTCCAATATAAAAATAATCATTTTTAAAGGATTCTTGAGGAAATAAATATGTAATCATGCCACTTAAAGGGTGAAATTGTAAACTAAATAATACGAGTAATTAACAAAATGCAGGCCTCTAGAAAATGAGAAATTCACTGTCCCTGTTTCTGTCCTGAATGAGCCAAAGGTATGAAATTAATAAGCGACACAGATAATCTTAGAGGAAATCAGTAAGGGATGATAAAAGCCACCTGAACCAGGTATGAACTCTAACAGCATAAAAATTAAAACTCAGAACATGCACAGTGGCTCATGCCTGTAATCCCAACAGTTTAGGAGGATGAAGCAGGCAAATCACCTGAGACAAAGAGTTCCAGATCAGCCTGGCCAACATAGGAAAATTCCCTCTCTACTAAAAATACAAAAATTAGCAGGGCATGGTGGTGCACAGTAGTCCCAGCCGCTTGGGAGGCTGAGACAGAGAATAGATTGAACCTGGGAGGCATAGGTTGCAGTGAGCTGAGACTGCACCACTGCATTCTGGCCTGGACAACAGAGGGGAGACTGTCTTTAAAAAAAAAAACTTTAAAAAATTAAAAACTCTATCTCCCATGAATTGAAAATTTTTACCATGTGGATTATTAATAGGGTTGCAAGATTTGGCAATATAACAATATATGACACTGAGTTAATTGGAATTTCAGATACACATCAAATCATTTTTTAGTGTAAGTAAAGGATATTTACAGGGGATATACTTATACTGAAAGCATGTCATGAGTAATTAAGTAAATTCAAAATTAGTAAGGCATCCTATACTTGACCTGGAAACCCTAACAATTTATCAACATCCTTTTGATACACAAGGACAGATCTGATTTACAGTCACTTCGAGAAAAGAAAGACTGTCATGAGTTCTCATCACAGGCTCTAGAAACCATAGAAACAAAAAAAGAAGGATAGACATAAAAAGGACAGAAGGAACATAACAGAGATACACATTAATATGCATATGTAAACTTATTGAATAAATGTTTGTTTTTCATTGCTGTTGTAAGGGGCTGTTCAAAAGGGTATAACGTTCAATAGTGCTTGATTATATAATCCTATAAAGGATGTTTCAGATAATTTAAACTGACTACAATGTTACAAGACATAGGGGAAACCTATACTGTTGGCTATTGCAATTGTCAGAAAAAAAGGAGGTAAGAAAATTCAGGGTCCAAAAGTAGTAGAAGCCATTCATATGATAATTTCTGTCTTCTGCAGGAAAGAATAAGGATGGCATATTCTGTTTTGCTGGAAAGGAGAAAAGGCAGATACGGATTATGGTCCTACTTTGTATTTAAAGAGTTTAAGTCATAAGGTAGGATACTACCCTTTGCAAATGCCTAACATAAAATGCCACACCCTCAAAAACAAATTATTAAAATTAAATGCAAGCACTTCGTCTGATGTGGCTATCTATATTCTAAATGTTATCTATACTATAAATGTTATATCCTACGCTACTCATTATTCATCCGTTGGCATAGATATACTTTTTACAGGAGTCATTGGTCCCAGAAGAAGAGGTAGCACAAGAAAAGGAAACCCAAGGAAAAGCACCAGAGAGAATGCAAACAACCAACCAAGAAAGGCAAGAATTCCTCACATTGAGAAAAAGAAAGTCAGGCAGGAAATTGTATTTTTAAGTTATTTGACCTGATATTTGCCAAATGAGAACTTTTGCTGGCCTTTATTTTTCCAATGAAATCAACTATGATCATGAATTTTCTGAGTTTTTTTTTTTGTGGGGGGGAGGGGATGGATTTTATGTAGATATCAACATGATGTGAAAGAGAAACTACAAGAGAAATCCAGAGTCCACGGGGCAAAGATTAACAGGACATGAACAGCTAGCCTCCCAGCCCTATGGCACTTCACAGGAATCTCAGACAGCATTTCAAATTCTTCCACTAGAATAGGGATAAGGTCCAGGGATATTTTTCTATATCTCAAGGGACAGAAAGATTCCTATTTATTTATGATCTTCAATTTTGAATCTGTATTAGTAAATATATTCAAACTTTTGGAAGTCGTCCTACCTTTTTCTTTATTTGCATGTGTTTCCCCAATCTAAATTAATATTAAAATCTAGATTAAACTGGAAATAGACTTGTTTTCTTCCCAGGTTTACTTAAATTTGTTTCTAAATCTTGGCCAAGTATTTAAAGCCCTCTGGTTTTTATTTGTAAAATTAAAAACCAGATCATGAATAACATGATCTCTAAAGTACTTTCAATTTCTAACAGAATTATACGATTTTTTTTTCAAACATGTCAAAACTTGTATACTAATAACTCTTCTCATTCCTCCTTAAATACAAGTGGAAAGGAGTTTGCTCCTCCGAATCAAAAGAAAATAAATTATTTTGGGTAAGCGATGGAGTAATAATACTGGAAAAAATATTAATTGGCATTTCTTTTATTCCATTAAAAAGGGTTCCTTTGAATCCCGAAAAATTTATTAGAAAAAATGTCAACCTATTTCAACATATACTATGTCTCTTATTTGTGTTATTTTAATAATCTAAGTGTTGTTTTTGTCTCCACTTAACACGACAAAACACAACCTATACATTGCTGGAGTAATTTTATCAAAACCATTGATAGCTCACCTGTGCAAAAAGCTGTAATTATTTTCTTGGACACTGCTTTTGCCCAGTATTCAGTATTCCTGTAATCTGACCCC